GCATCCTCCCTCCCATCTTGATCCCCTTACCTTGCTCCATTTCTCTCTCCCATTGACCACACTCTGACATGTTACATATTTATCTGTCTTCCCTGAAAGACTATACACTCCTCAAGGATGGAGTCTACTTTTTGTCCATTTCTAGATATTTGCAGCTCTTGTAACAGTTCTAATAGTTCTCATAACACCTGGCATGTGTGTGCCATGCTTGAAAAATATGTGTTGAGGGACCAGATAAATGAACAAATGCATGGGATTCCAAATAAATGTGCAACTGAATTTTTCTGGAAATTGATTCTTAAATGTATATGGAAGAATATAGGTGCACAAATAGCTAGGACAACTATAAAAATGAAACAAGAAAAATGGCACAAAAATAGCCACATATAGCAACACAACAGGAAAGAGTCCAGAAATCAACCCATACATATATGGTCAATTAACCTATGACAAAGGAGTCAAGAACACGAATGGGGAAAAGATGGTCTCTTCGGCAAACAGTGACGGGAAAACTGCACAGCTCCGTGCAAAAGAATGAAACTGGACCAGTTTCTTACACCATACACAAAAATAAACCCCAAATGGATTGAAGAACTCAAAGTGAGACCTGAAGCCATAGAATTCCTACAAGAAAATACAGGCAGTAGTTTCTTTGACATAAGCCATAGAAACATTTTTCTATGTGTTTCCTCAAGCGAGAGAAACAAAAGCAAAATATAGTATCTTGCTGGACTACAGCAAAATAAAAGGTTTTTGCACAGCAAAGAAACCACCAACAAAATGACAAGGCATCCTCTCCCGAGTGGGAGAGGATATCTGCAAAAGATAATCTGATCGGAGGTTAATATCCAAAATATATAAAGAATATATACGACCCAACACTAAAATAATGAATAATCCAATTAAAAATTGGGCAGAAAACCTGAAGAGACATTTTTCCAAGAAGACATACAAATGGCCAACGGATACATGAAAAGATGTCCAACATCACTCATCATCAGGTAAATACAAATCAAAACTACAATGATGGGAAATGCAAGCTGGTGCAGCCACTCTGGAAAAAAGTATGGAGGTTCCTCAAAAAACTAAAAATAGAACTACCCTACGATCCAGCAATTGCACTAATAGGCATTTATCCAAGGGATACAGGTGTGCGGTTTCGAAGGGACACCCCCATGTTTATAGAGGCACTGTCAACAATAGCCAAAGTATGGAAAGAGCCCAAATGTCCATTGATGGATGAATGGATAAAGAAGATGTGATATGTACACACACACACACACACACACACACACACACACACACACACTGAAGTATTACTCGGCAATCAAAAAGAATGAAATCTTGCCATTTGCAACTACACAGATGGAACTGGAGGGTATTATGCTAAGTGAAATTACTCAGTCACTGCAAGACAAATATCATATGATTTCATTCATATGAGGACTTTAAGAGACAAAAGGGAAGGGAAACAAAAATAATGTAAAAACAGGGAGGGGGACAAAACAGAAGAGACCCATAAATGTGGAGAACAAACTGAGGGTTACAGGAGGGGTTGTGGGAGGGGGGATGGGCTAAATGGGTAAGGGGCACTAAGGAATCTACTCCTGAAATCATTGTTGCACTATATGCTAATTTGGATGTAAATTTAAAAAAATTAAAATTAAAATTAAAAAAAAACACATGGCTGGGATAAAAAAACAAAAAAACAAAAAAACAAAACAGTACGTCCTTCTAAATATTTAAGAAATGTTGAATACATGAATTATATAGTAAGCTCTTTTACAAAGAGAACTGCTTTTTTTGTTCATATTAAATTCTCAAGATGTAAAAAAAAAAAAAATTACAATGAAATACCACCTCACACCTATCAGAATGGCTAAAATAAAAAGCACAAGAAACAACAAGTGTTGGCAAGGATGTGGAGGAAAAGGAATGCACTGCTGGTGGGAATGCAAACTGGCACAGCCACTGTGGAAGACATTATGGAGGTTCCTCAAAAAATTAAAAATGCAATTACCATGTGATCCAGTAATTCCACTACTGGGTATTTACTCAAAGAATATGAAAACACTAATTCAAAAAGATATCTGCACCCCCATGTTCATTGCAGCATTATTTACAATAGCCACGACATGGAAGCAACCCAAGTGTCCATCAACAGATGACTGGATGAAGATGTGGTGTACATATGCAATGGAATATTACTCAGCCATAAAAAAAGAGATCTGGTCATTTGCAACAACATGGACGGAACTAGAGTATATTATGCTAAGTGAAATAAGTCAGAGAAAGACAAATACCATATGATTTCACTCATGTAAAAATTAAGAAACAAATGAACGAAGGGAAAAAGAGACAAACAAAAAAGCCAATACTTAAATACAGAGAACTGGTGGTTACCAGAGTTGGGGGAGGGGATAGGTGAAACAGGTGAAGGGGATTAAGGGTACACTTATCATGATGAGCACTGAGTAATGTATAGCATTGTTGAGTCACTACTGGTACATCTGAAACTAATAAAACACTGTATTACACTTTAATTAAAAAAAAAAAAAAAAGGAAAAAGAAACCAGAGGAGTTATTCACCCTACAAGAGATCCAGTTGCAAAGCTACAGTAACTATGATACTGTTATGGGAATACATAGCTCACTAAGAACCAAGTCCACAGACTCCAGCAAATATGGGCCCATGGGGGTATGAACAGAGTAGAATCACAAATCATTTGGAAAGTAGAGACACCTAATAATGATGATGGGGTAACTTTTTCACCACCCGGAAAAATAATACAAAATTGACTTCTTACCTTATGCCATACAAAAATAACCTCCAGATAATCTAAAGATTTAGCATTCAAATAATCATCTAAAGCTGTAAGAAAGCAGGAGGCCTACCTTTAAGAAGTAGGAAAGGCTTCTTAAAGACGAACCATAACAAAACAGGATACAGGGATCTGACTTAATAACGAAAAAACACTGACATGAAAAAAAGCTTGATAAACATATGTAAAAGGCAAGTAAATTATAAGATGTTACAATGTTACCTCTGCAGCTCACTAAGAAAAAGCCAAATTGTCCAACAAAGAAACCAAGCAAAGAACATATATATATCAGCGATTCATTAGTGTGGGGATCCTGTCAATACACACAAGAAAAAACACCCAGAGCCATCAGCAATCACACAAAAGCTCATTAAAACAGTGACATTATACTCTTCACTCATCAGACTCACAGGATTTCACTAGACAGTATCAAGTGCTAACAGAAATGAGGAAAATAGGAACTTTTGAGTATTGCCAGTAAGACTGAAAATCAGGACAGCCATTGTGAAAACCCATTTGACTCTTGTCAAATTGGAGACGCACCATTTTTTATGACACAGTGCAAAGAGAGATGCAGAAGGCTGTTTCTAGAAGGACATAAAGAACACACCCAAATGTCCACTCGTAGGAGGCAAAATGAGCATGTGCCACATTTATTTAATAGAATACAGTGATAATAAGTGGATCCATACATACCAACATAGATAGAACCCCATGATATAGTAAGTGAAAATACAGAATACAGACTGGTGACATTTATGTACATTTTAAAAAACTCTGAGGCAACACCATTTCCTTACACTCGTGGGTAAAAACGTAAAGAATGGATGCACATATACAGTTGCGTTGCGGTGGTGGCCTCTGCAAGGTACAAGGGGGCACTGAGGGAACTGGTTAAAGAATTTCACTTACATCTCAGTGCATTACTTCTTTAAAAAAAAAACGGAAGAAGAGGGTAGTTATTACTTCTGGATGGTGAGAATGTGGACATTTACTATTGCTCGTCCTTTTTAATTCCCTTCCCAAGTTTTCCCTTGTGGAGTACTCCCTCTAGTGCTCAACCACATGCTCTCTGCAGGCAAGGGGCAGGGGTGGGCATGCTGAGAACACTGTAACACTGGATCTTGACGAGAGACTTAAGTGCTGTCCAAGGTGAATTTTGACCATATGTGATTTTAGCCTTAACTGACAAACTTGACTATTAATACTCTTGTAAGTTTAGACTCACAGCATTCATGAGCATGATAACTTAAAAAAAAAGTGTAAAACACTTCAATTTAGGTAAGGACTTTTGAGGGGCCAATCTTATGTACAAAATTCAGTTAAATAAACTCCCGCTTCTCCAGTGCCATCTGGTGGAAAAAAGAGGCAACTGTACCTTCCACAAAAACCCACAATTGTGGTTATCAGAGCAAGAGCAACATTCTTTCCAAGGAAGAGTCTTTTCCTTCTGAGGTTACTGTGTACTACACTAGTAACCATGTACGTTCTTCAGAGCCTTCCTCAAACTAAATTCTTCAGCCTGTAAGTTAAGAAAAGGCTGTTCTTCTATCTTCTTTTGCTCAGATTCCTTCTTTAATGTGTCTTAGTCAAATGATGTTTTAAATTCTTCCTCACCAGACCAATCTGCAATCATAATCTTTATTCATCCACGTTTCATACCCTCCAGGGTAAAAAATTCCAACAGCTGATTTCTAGATTAAAAATTTTAGTGTCATTCTGCTTTATATAAACTGAGGGTGGTTAAGAATTTTTAATTTAAAGACTTAAAATACAGTGTGTTCTCACTATAAATATGCAGTGGGAATTATAAATAGTTCCTTCTTTCAAGCACTGAACGAGATAGTAAAAAACATACAGTATCTTACCAAGAGCCAACAAAACAGGCTAGATTTTTTCAGATATTAAAAAAATCAACATAAAACAAAAACAAAAAACCATAGTAACAAGGTCATTAATACCTCAATTTGCAATACTGAATTGGTTGATCCATAAACAATCCAGAGATGTAACTGAACAGGGTGGTAAAATTACTTTGGAAAATGACGACTGTACTCAAGACAAAATAAGTCAGTCCTAAATGGTTTCTTCCCTTAGTGTTCTCTGTGACCACGATTCCAGTCAAACTTCATAACCTGCTGTCATAGCTTTTTAACGGTTTCCAAATCAGCACTAGCAGAGGATGGAAATAAAGCCAAAGGCACTCCCTCAGAGGTTCAAAACTGCTAGATTTTGATGTAGACTTAAATTTAGCAAGTTTCAGTCATTCCACTGAGATGATCCTGTAGGTACATGCAAACACACTGAACTGTTGGCTTCCCTTCTTGTCCCTTCTCAAAGTTTATGATAAAGAGACTAATCCCTGTATTGGGACTGACTGACATAAATTCAGATTTGTTCAGACTTGTGGGTAAGGAACACTTAAGGTCAGTCAGAAAATAATTAAACAGGCTTTTCATGTAAGCGCCATGACTCACAACTAAGACACTGGCGACTAATCCTGGAGCACTGCTGTCTGAATTAGATTCAGAGGGACAGTTTTTTCCTAAGGGAAATATCTCTGCCAGAGAAGTTTCCAGACAGTTGCTTGGAGCTCCTCGAGAAAACTGTTCATTTTCACCTGCCTCCTGCAGAATCAGCTGACAAAGAATATCAAAAAAGTCTTTTCCACGCATTTTTACCTACAAGAAAAGAAAATACAAATTAAAATAAAGTGCCACTAATGATAGTCTAAAACATACACATAAAACATAACTGACTGGATTTTCTAATATGTCAATGTAAGTACTACATAAGCAGATGAAATTCTGTTTCTATGCATTCAATCAGAAGTAAATGCCCAGGTATTTCTGGAACTATGGAAGCACATCTAGGGGCAAAGATGAGTAAAATACCATTTCTAATTCTTTCCTTCAGAGAGAGCACTTACAATCTAATTAGGGAAATTTACCAGTAAAAAGAAGCCCATAAAAGAGTGTGTCTAGGAAAGGGCACCTAGAGCAACCACAAGGACAAAAGCTCTTCTTGCCTTTACTAAACAGAAAGTCTTTAGGAGAAAATTATGAAAATAAAAAATGGTGGTGGGGGGGTGGGGATCACCAATAATGCAGTTTAAAAGCAGGACACTTCAAAGAAATTCAAGCACAGTGATGATGTCACTTAGGGAGCACTGAAGATTTTGAGACCACAGTTACTTTGCCTGCCGCCCTCACTGAACGGCACTGCACTCACCTCCTTCCTGCTAGTACCACTGTGGGAGTTACTGCTTCATATTCAAAGAGTTTTCTTCAAGTATCACCTTAACACACATCCTTTAAATCCATTATTGGCAATGACTGCCAACTTAATAAATAAGAAAGACAGCTTAAAAAGGAAAAATAAACACACCATATAGAATTGGTTTATGAACCAAACAACTTTCAAACCACTCAGCTGAGATTTAAAGACATCTCATTTATAAAACAAACTCAGTATTAGGTACTCTGACCTTGGCAGGTTCATGCACGTGACAACCTGCCCCAGGGCTACGTACCTGGTCTAATGTCTCTCCTCCAGGTGGTGTGAACACAGGGCATTCTTCCCCAGCTGCTTTGGCCATCGCCCTTAGCTCACTTAGTGCCCTGCCTTCTGCAACCCCGTATTTCTGCAATGGTCCAACAGACAAAAGTGCCTCAAATCAATTTGCAATACAACAAGTAAATACATGCTTATGACAAACTTGGAATAATCATTCTGGCAAGAAGCCTGGCTTCCTTTCACTGACTTCATTCTATCTTTTAAACCCATAATGAGAATATACTCAGTAGAGGGCCGTGAACCCTAGAAAATACAGTTGACACCTTGAACTAGACACTGTGTCTAGATGCGTTATAGGGAACAACACACTCAACTAGACAGTGTGGCTTTATTGGACAAATAGATCTGCACAGATTCCAGGACCAGAGACTAATGTATGCAGCAACCAAGTCAGCCACCTCGCATGCCATCTCATCTGGTCCTAATAATAGCACTCGGAGATGGGCATTTTCATCACCATGTTTATGAATGGGAGAGCAGAATTTCAGAGAGGTTAAGCAACTAGCCTATATTCCTATAGCTAATAATCAGCAAATTTGAAATTTAAACCCCGATCTGTGTGATTTAAAAGGTTACTAACTTTTTAGATTCATAAAGAATGAGCCACAGCACAGGACACAGAAGTCACAAACGAAATACAAACGGCCAAGAAACTCCTCAGGAATCCATAATGTGAAAATTAAAATGGTACCTTTCGGAAGCTATTAAATTGGAAGACCAAAGAGACTACCAATAGCTACTGTTTATGTGAGAAAAACTCTCCCTCATCATTCGTGGAAGTACAAACTGGCACAGCTTTTCTGGAAGGAAATTCAGCAGTGTGTGTAATAGGCTTTTCAAAAAGTACACCCTCAACAATTTCATCTGTAGGAAATCTATTAGGCATGTGTATAAAGAATCAACTACAAAAAGATGTTTATTTTAACATTATTTACACCAGTGGAAAATCGAGTCACAACCTAGGTGTGCACCAGTAGTGGCAGCCAAGCAATATCCATTTACGGGAATGATACAGTCACTAATCAGGTGGTCGTATCCACATGTGTGTTTGGGCACTGATAAACACAGGGAGAAAATCCGGTTAAAAACCAACATATAGAAGGGGTACACTTAGAAAAATACATACACAACCAGACAGATAGACAGACAGACTGACAAACATGAAAAAAGCCAAGAGCACACATACCAAAATGTTCACCATATTTGGCATGGTAGAAATTTTAGCTGTATTTTTTCCCAAACTATTCTTACTTTTAGTTCCCCACAATGATAACAGATTGCTTACAGAATAAAATATTTAAAGATAAATCATTATTTATGGTTTATACTGATGATGCCTCAAAATTCTACCACCACCGGACAGAAGTCCAACAATTAATTAAATGTTATTTATAGGAGCATATGCACATTTGTCAGGTGCTCTTCCAATTCTTAAGTTCAAATTCTTTTTCTTTAAGTGTATTTATTTATTTTGAGAGAGAGAGAATACAAGTAGGGGAGGGGCAGAGAGAGAGGGAGAGAGAATCCCAAGCAGGCTCCGCACTGCCAGTACAGAGCCCAATGCGGGGCTCGAACTCATGAACCATGAGATCATGACCCGAGCCAAAATCAACAGTCAGACGCTTAACTGACTGAGCCACCCAGGTGCCACTCAAGTTCAATTCTTATATCTTTAATTATAACTGGAACAACCTATTTTATAAAGGAGAACGTTAAAAATCATTAGCTCTATGACCATGGACTTGAACTCTGTGTGCCTTGGTTTCTGCAACTGTAAAAATGAGGTTTTAAATCTTAGGGGTATTGTGAAGATTAACAAACCTGCGGTTCTGAGACCCCTGCCAGAGTGTGGTGGGCACTGTGCAAATGCTCACTAATACTACTAAGGCTGGGCAGTAAGCACAAGGAAGGAGGAGGCAGATGGAGAAAACAGATCATATCCTACACTATGCTGACAGCCAGGCTGGAGCTTGGATGGGCTTCGAAGGTAAAAGAGAAACAGTGAATTGTTCTATACAGGAACGCAGCAACCAAGTTTTCCAAAGATTACTCTGGCTGCAGTGTGGAGATTAGATCAGAAAGCGAGAGCAAGGCAGAAGACAGGAGAACCACTGTTCCAGGTGATCCAGGTGACAGGGGACACTGAATACAGTAGGATGGCAGCAGTGGGTTTGCAGAGGGATGAACGATTCAAGAACTATTACACAGTGGCCAAATTGACAAGATGATGGTAGGATGTGCAAGTGGGAAGCAAGGAAGTCAAGAATGCGTAGTTTGAGTGACTGGGTAAAGCAGGAGCTACATGGAGAAAAGATGGTGTGCTCCACTGAGCTAGAAGTAGATGTGGGGCACACACACAGACATCAAAAGTAGGCAGTTTGATATGTGAGCTCAGGCAAGAGATCTAAGCTAAAAATATATATTTGGAAATCAACTGAAATCACAGGAAAGGATGCAGTGATTCAGGGAGAGGGCACACAGAAGAATGGCCCGGACAAGGAGACCGTCTCTCTACTGTGCGATCGCAGGCCTCGTCCAGTGTTTCACTGAACTTGTAATGCTTGTATTAACACTGGAACACTAGTTCTCAGGCACAGACTGAGCCTTTCCAAGCAGCACCTCTGCGGGAACTCTGGTATGTATTTTGGACAAAAACAGAGAACACAGGCAAATTATGAAAAGCAATTCTCAAAGATGCCCTAGCCATCGACACATCTAACCAGGTACAAAAGAAATTACAGGGCTGATGGGGACATTAGCCAGCTCATGGGCCCATAGTGAAGAGCAAAATTACTGCTCTGGGAGGACAAGCTCAGATCTGAAATTGAGATGTGGCTTTAGCTAAGTCACTATCTCAGCAAGTTTCATTTCTGGTATATAAAATGGACATAAGACAGTCTATTCAAGCTTAAAATTGGGAAGTAGGATGGGGAGGCCAAGAAGAGAACTTTGCACTTTACCTCACACTCTTCTGTACTAGTTCTTATAAGGAGACCTTGCTTTTATAATTTGGGAATTTAATAATTAAATATGATACTATCAGTGAGAATCCGTAACAGCCACTGACACATAGCAGGTTCTTAACATGTTAGCTGATTCCACATCCCTATCAGGAATGCGTCTGATAAACTGAGCTGGTTTACTGATGACTTATTGTGAAGAACAATATGTAAGTACGTTACTTACTCTTTCTCGAAGCCTTGAATCATACTTTACTGTCATATCTTTGCAAACTTTGCTCTTCTCCAATATCCCATGCACAGTCTGCAAATGGAAAGACAATGGTTTCTTTTCTCACAAAAAGAGTCATTCTAGCCAAAATGTCAAAATACATCATAGTATATAAAAAAAGAACTAGAAATAATTTTCCTTTGTGAAAGTTGCCTCTCTTCACACAGATCTGGGTATTTCCTTGTGACCGATCTTCTAGTTTGCAGGTCAGCAAATTAGAGCCCAAATCTAGACCACGGCTTGTTGTCATAAATGAAGATTTATTAGAACACAGCTATTTATGTATTGTTTGTGGCTGCTTTCACAGTACAACAGCAGAGTTGAACAGTTGTGACAGAGACCATACAGCCCATAAAACTTAAAAAAACTTACTATTTGGCCCTTTACAGAAAAGGTTCCAGTTCATTAACTCTGCATTCAGGTGTTGCTACATTGCTGTGAAACCCATCTATTGAGTCTTAATTTCAGTTATATTTTCAGTTCTAGAATTCACACTTAGCTCTTGTGCATAATTTCCAGTTCTCTGTTGTAATTCCATGTCATTTTTTAATCTGTGCATTCAATAGTTATTTTAAAGTCCGTGTCTGGTAACCAGCTATCAAATAAATCCTGCGGCTTGTTTCTGTCATCTTTTGTTTGGGCTCATTTTTGTTCATGTTTCCTTCTCTCCTGGTGTGCCTGGTTATTTTTGATTAACAAGAAACACTGTATTTGCAAAACTAGAAATAATTTAAGTCCACAATCTGACTTGTTTTTTAACCCTCTCCCCACAAATTAAACATTATCATCATTATGGTTCTATATTGTCACTATTTGTTTACATTTACCCTTACTTTTACCAATATCTTTGCTCACCCATCTTTTCTGAAACTCAGACTTCCCTTCTGGAATTATTTTCCTTCTTCAATTATCCTTTGAAAGTTCCTTTACAGCCTGTTTGTCTGAAATGTGTTCATTTCACCTACACCCTAGAAAATGTTTTCCTGGGTATAAAACTCTAGGTTAGTCTTTATTATCTCTTCAGTGTATTAAAAAAAATTATTACTGATACTGACAAATTTGTTGATAGTCTAATACTGGACATTAGTGGATGACGTTTGTCCTTAATCTTTGGACTTTGCAATTTTGTTATTGTAAGTGTAGATATGGGTTTCTTTTTATTTATCTCCACTGGGATTTGTCACACTTTTTAGTTCTGATAATGTGTTATCTTTCAAAAGTTCTGTAAAATTATCAACTGTGACTTCTTTGACCCCTTTCTCATTCTAACATCTCCTTCTGAAAGACACCAGACCTCATATCATGTTCTTCATTTTTTTTAAATTCTCAAATGTTTAATCTATTTATCACATTGTGCTACATTTCAGTTATTATTTTACATTTACCTATGAGCTAATGATCATTTCAACTATGTTTAATCTGTAATTTAGTAAATCCACTGAGGTTTTCATTTTTGGTTTATCAACTTGTTCTGTGTTTTTATTTATTTATTTTTTTTTTTAATTTTTTTTTTCAACGTTTATTTATTTTTGGGACAGAGAGAGACAGAGCATGAACGGGCAAGGGGCAGAGAGAGAGGGAGACACAGAATCGGAAACAGGCTCCAGGCTCTGAGCCATCAGCCCAGAGCCCAACGCGGGGCTCGAACTCACAGACCGCGAGATCGTGACCTGGCTGAAGTCGGACGCTTAACTGACTGTGCCACCCAGGTGCCCCTGTTCTGTGTTTTTAAATCAATTTCATTGAGGTATAATTTATAACAAAAAAACATACCTATTGCTAAGTGTACAGTTTACTGAGTTTTGAAAAATGTATACGACTATCTACATACCACCAAAATCAAGACATGGAAGAATTCTATCACTCTAAAAGATTCCTTTGTGTCCTTTCTAGTCAATCCCTCTCACTCCTGGCCCCTGACAACCATGGACCTGCTCTACATAACTGAAGATTAAATTTATCCTTTCTGGAGTCTCATATAAATGGAACCATACAATATGTACTCTTTGTGCCTGGCCTCTTTTGTTCAGCATGTTTTTGAGACTCCTCCACTCCTCCTCACGTTGTTGCTGAGTTGTATTCCACAGCATGAATGTATCACAGCTCATTTATCCATTCATCTACTGATGAACACGGGTGATTCTGCTCTTTGAACAGAAGTTGTTCAAATGAACAAAGCTATTATGAAGAAAGCTGTTAATTATGTGTACAAGTCTTTGTGTAAACATGTTATTTCTCTTGGATAAATTCTTAGGACCGAGATTGCTGGATCATATGATTAGTGTATGCTGAAGTTTCACTGTTTTCCAAAGTAGTTGTTCCACTTTACATTCTCACGAGCAAAGTAGGAGTCCTAGTTGTTCCACATTCTTGTGCATTTTCAAATGTTCATGTAATAGAATCTCACTATGGTTTTAATTTGCATTTCTGTCAAGATCAATTATGCTACACATCTTTCAATCTGCTTATTGACCTTCCATATTCTCTTCTTTGTGAAGTTCCTGGTCAAATTCAAATCTTTTGCTCATTTTAAAGTGTTATTCTAATTACTAAGCTGAAAAAAATTTATAAATATGGCTATATACGATACATATATATTATATATAAAATAAAATCCTTGCACTAAGAACCTTTATAAAGCTTTTTCTCTTGTGTTTTCTTTTTTTTTTTTTTTTAATTTTTTTTTTTCAACGTTTATTTATTTTTGGGACAGAGAGAGACAGAGCATGAACGGGGGAGGGGCAGAGAGAGAGGGAGACACAGAATCGGAAACAGGCTCCAGGCTCTGAGCCATCAGCCCAGAGCCTGACGCGGGGCTCGAACTCACGGACCGCGAGATCGTGACCTGGCTGAAGTCGGACGCTTAACCGACTGCGCCATCCAGGCGCCCCTCTCTTGTGTTTTCTTATAGAAGATATATAGATTTAGCTTTTAGATTTGTGCTGAGATCAAGTGTAAGTTAATTTTTTTGTGTTATATGCAGTAAAGGTCAAAGTTCATGTTTTTCTATATGGATAGTCCATTGTTTCAACAGCTTTTATTGAAAAGAATCCCTGTCAAGTGCTGTATTACCTTGGCACCTCTGTCAAAACCCAATTGACAAAAAAAGATTCTGACTTCCAGGGAAGATGATGGAGTAGGAGGACCCTAAATTCACTTCCTCCCAGGAGTACTACTAGATAACATTCACATCAGTATAAATAACCCAGAAAATGACCCAAAGACTGGCAGAACAAATGCCACAAGTAAAGGTAGATAAGAGGCCACAATGAAGAGGGTAGGAAGGGTAAAGACACAATGGGGAATTAAACAGACCCATGGGCCAGCCATGCGCAGGAGGGAGGGAGCAGAAGGACTGGAAAAGGAAGAGAAACACACAACAGTAAGCCCACGTGGGGAAGACAAATGCCCATTACATTTGGCTTTGAAAACTAGAGGGGTTGAATTTTCTGAGTTCTTAGAATCAGCCGGACTTAAAACTTGGAATTTTAAAAACCAGGGGGTGTGGCTCTGGGAGAGCCTGGAGGACAGAGGACATAGAGCCCAAGCTCTTAAAGAGACAGCACAACCAACAGCCCAAGATACAGCATAGAAGCAGCAGTTTGAAAACTGCCTGGGGTATACAGGAGAGAAAGTTATTTACTAATCTTAGAACATGTCCAGAGGCGCAGCAGTCACAGGGACACTCCCCCAGGAAGAAAGAAGCTGGCATGCAACATTTCCCTCCCCTGCCCCACAGAGTACACACATGGCCAGCTGTGAGAACCAGTGTGGCAGACATTCACTATCTAACTTGCTAACACTGCCACCCACCCCGCAGCACCTTGCAGATTCACCCCCTCCAATACACTCCTGGCCCAAGCCCATCCAGGGCATTGCCACAAGCCTGGCAGTGTGCAAGTAGCTCCTACAGTGGCCAGCACCACTCCAAAGTGACTCTGGCCCTGGGGAGAGGGAAAATACCACCAGCACCACCACCCCCACGCCCCCCCCCCCCCACCAGACTGTGGCCCTAGCAGTGGGCTGGAGGCAGACAACTAGTCTGACCGCAGGTCCTGTCCACCAATAAAAGCTTCTCAAGGGACAACACAGGGAAAGTGCCCTGCAGTTTGGTGCTACCACACCTCTGGAAAATGCCTGGTCTGACTCAACTCAGGCCCAAGGCAGCCCCAAATTGGCCCACTAGCAATAAAGGGACCAAACCCTGTCCACAACAGATAAAGAGAACCTCTGCAGATGACTGGACTGGCTCAGCCATAACAGCCAGGTGCACACAGCACACATAGTAGACACCCCTGCAGTGTCAGGTTCTAGTAAACAGGGGACACTGCACTGCAGGGCACTACAAGACCTCTTCTTCACAAGGCCACTACCTTCGAGAGCAGGAGACACAGCTGACTTTCCTAATACACAGAAACAGACACGAGTTACACACAAATGAAGAGTCAGAGAAATATGTCCCAAATGAAAGAACAGGACATAATCACAGCAAGAGATCAAAACAAAATGGAGATAAGTAATATGCCTGGTAGAGAATTTAAAATAATGCTCATAAAGATACTCACTGAACTTGAGAAAAGAGTGGAGGACATCAATGAGACCCTTAACACAGAGATAAAAAAGAACCAATCCAAGATGAAGAACACAAGAAATGAAATTTAAAATACACTAGATGGAATAAATAGGCTAGAGGAAGCAGAAGAACGAATCAGTGACCTGAAGACAGAGTAATGGAAAATAATCAACCTGAGTAGGTGAAAGATAAAAAAAATTATGCAAAATGAGAATAGATTTAGGGAACTCAGGGACACCATCAAGCATAATGGTCTCATTAATGGTCATCAAGCATAATGGAGGTCTGACTTCTTTCAGACCTAAAGACACATGCACACTGAAAGTGAGGCAATAGAGAAACATTTATCATGCAAATGCATGTCAAAAGAAAGCTGGGGTTTCAATACTTATATTGGACAAAACAGACTTTGAAACAAAAACTGTAACAAGAGACAAAGAAGGACACTACATAATAAAGGGGATAATCCAACAAGAAGATACAACTATTATAAATATTTATGCACCCCACATGGGAGTAGCCAAATACATAAAGCAGTTTATAACAAACATGAAGTAATCGATAGTAATACAATAATAGTAGGGTACTTCAACACCCCACTTACATCAATGGACAGATCTGAAAAAAAAATTAACAAGGAAACAGTGGCTTTGAATGACACACTGGACCAGGTGGGTGTACCAATACAGAAACAACATTTCATCCTAAAAGAGCAGAATACACATCCTTTTCAAGTGCACGTGGAACATTCTCCAGAACAGATCACATATTACATCACTAAACAAGTCTCAAAAATTCAAAAAGATCAAAGTCCTACCAAGCATCTTTTCTGACCACAACAGTATGAAACTAAAAATCAACCACGAGAAAAAATCTGAGAAGAACACAAATATATGGAAGTTGAATTACATGCTATTAAATAATGAATGAGTCAACAACAACAACAACAAAAAAAATCAAAGAGGAAACTAAAAAATACATGGAGACAAATTAAAATGAAAACACAATGGTCCAACATCTTTGGGATGCAGCAAAAGCTGTTCTAAGAGGGAAGTTTATAGCAATACAAACCTACCTCAAGCAAGAAAAATCTCAAATAAACCACTAAACTTACACCTAAAGGAGCTAGAAAAAGAACCACCAGGAGCTTAAAAACAGCAGAAGGAAGAAAGTTATAATAAAGAGGGGAAATATATAAAATAGAAACTGAAAAAAAAAGAGAATAAAACAGATCAATAAAACCAAGAGCTGATTCTTTAAAAAATCAACAAAACTGATAAACCTTTAGCCAAACTCATTTTTAAAAAATAATAATAAAATAAAGAGAGCACTTAAGACCAACTGACAAAAAACAACTGAGAGGAAAAAAAACCAAAACCCACAACAACAAAAACAACCTGGCCATGTAGGTGTGGGTCAATTTTAGACCCCTCAATTGAGACTCCTTTTTTCCTTTTTTCAGTCTTCTTTCTTCCTTAATTTTGGAATGTTCTGTTTCTATAACTTCATGTTCACTGCTCTTCTACAGTGTCTAACCTGCTAATAATCCCCTACTATGTAATTTTCATTTCAGAATACTGTTATTTTTGATCTCTAGAAGATGAATTTGATTCTTTTTATTTCTTCTATTTCTTTCCTCATTATGTTCCTCGAGCACAGATGAGCTTCACTGTTTTTTTTTTTTAATGTTTATTAATTTATTTTGAGAGAGACACAGAGAGCGTGAACCAGAGAGGGCCAGAGAGAGAATTCTAAGCAGGCTCCACACTCAGCACGGAACCCAATCAGGGTTCAATCCCATGACTATGAGATCATGACCTGAGCCAAAGTCAAGAGTCAGATGTTTAATTGACTGAGCCTCCCAGGCACCCCATTAATTAATTAATTCATTGTTTAAGAAAGCTCAATGCCCAACATGGGGCTTGAACTCACAACCTGGAAATCAAGAAGTTGCATGCTCTACTGACTGAGCCAGCCAGGCATCCCAGCTTCACTATTAAGGTGTGATCTTTCTGAAGTGTCCACTGTATGCTTGATGTACTTAACAAAGTCTCTCCACTTTGGGTGGAAGGAACACAAATGATTCCCAACCTGTGTGAACACTTGAAATTGTCTGGCTTCTGGTTCCCCAGGGACTGTTCTCTCCTGGCCTCATGAGGTTTCACCTACGCATGTGCAGACTGTAATCTACCGAGAATTTAAGGGGCTTCCTATACATACTTCTAGAGTTCTTTCTCTGTGTTGCTCCCTCTTCCAGCACTCTGCCCGACGATCTTTATTTAACCTCCCCAAATTCCAAGCTTTGTCTCCTCAACTCCCTGAGACCACTGGCTCTATCTGGCCTTTCCTGCCAGCATTGGGAAATTACTTCAGGTGGAACACCAGGACAATCCAAGGGTTGATGTTACTTGTCTCACTTCATTTGGGGACCACAGGCCCACACTATCTGAAGTCCAATGTCTATAAACAGTTGTTTCACAAATTTCGCCCTGTTTCTCTAGTTGCTTTTGCAGGAAGACTATATCCTAACCCTGTTATTCCCTCATGGTTGACACAAAGTCCCCTTCCATTGAGTTTTTAGACATTTATTTGGTTCCTTTTTAATTCCCTGGGGTCATTTTTATAGTACTCTGATCCCTAAAGATATTTCAAACGTGTCATTTATTTCTCTACAGTAACATAGTTCTTTTTTAACCATGTCTGGATTCTACTATTTGATGTCTTTGTGAGTTAAATTCTCCTACCTGGTGTTCCTGCTGGCTCTCTCATAAACCTTCTTTGTCTTTTTAAAGATATTTCATTAGGTATTTTTCCCACGCTACTCTAATTTAAAAATTAACAAGGGGCACCTGGGTGCTCAGTCGGTTAAGCGTCCAACTTCAGCTGAGGTCATGATCTCACAGTTCGTGAGCTCGAGCCCTGTATCAGGCTCTATGCTGACAGCTCAGGGCCTGGAGCCTGCTTTAGATTCTGTGTCTCCCCCTCTCTCTTCCCCTCCCCCACTCAGGCTCTGTCTCTCTCTCTCTCAAAAATAAATAAAAACATTTAAAAAAATAACAATAAAATTACTAAATCAAAATAAAGTACAAAAGTAAAATGAAAAGAAAGAAGTCCTGTTGGTGGGGGAAGGAGAGGATTGGGGGTGTTATCTGCATGTGATTTAATTTCCTACGATTCTGGTAGCAGTTTTCAAGGTTATGACTGTTGATACTCTTGACTCATCAGTCTAAACCTTGACTGTAGAACTTACCTGCCTTGTCCTTGTGAGGTCACTGGAGAAAACATGAGTAAATTTCACATTATTAAGAAATATGCCAGCAGCAGCTGCTTGTTTAAATCCAGTTTCCGAAAGAGGCTCGTCTACTCCTTGTCCTGTAATAGTAAGAGAAGGAACAATAACATTCAAATATATATACATAAGGGATGCAAATAAAATCACATGTAAGAGAATATAATTTATCTACACTTTATTTAAAATATTTCTTTGGAGGGGCAAGTGCATGGCTCAGTCAGTTAGGCCTCAGACACTTGATTTCGGTTCCGGTCATGATCTCATGGTTCGTGACACTGAGCCCTGTGCTGAGATTCTCTGTCTCCCTTTCTCTCTGCCCCTCCCCTGCTTGCACTTGCTCTCTCCCTCTCAAAATAAATAAATAAACATTAAAAAAATATATTTCCTTGGTTATTGTTCTACATAACTTTTCAGAGAACTGGAAACAAGTAAATTTAAGCTATAATCCTATAAAGACTCAGGTATTCATATGTTTCCCAAAAGAATGTCTGCCTAATGGGAATAAGAGGATGAGAATTCAGTTGTCTCCAGCTCTCCCCTCTCTTGTGTGTGTCTGCCCACCCCTTCGTTACCTGTATCTTATTAATGCTGGCTCTAATCTTATGTTCTCCATGCAGGTGCTTCATTTGAATGGTAGGATCATAACCTAAAAAGTTTCCTTTCTTAATCTCCATTGCCCAAATGTCCAATATTGTATTATTCCCTCTCTTCCTTCTTCCCTTTAAAAAAAAGGTTGGAACCTCCATTTCCAGGAGAAAGGCTGATTAAACACTCTGAAGGGTCCTCCCATAACAAAAGAACCAAATAGGTGTGCTGTGTGTGTGTGTGTGTGTGTGTGCGCGCGCGCGCGGGTCTCAGGGTATAAGGAAACTCTCCAAGAGGAGATGCAAAGCAACCAAAATACTCTGAGTTGAAAGCTAAATATAAACATTAGAAAACAGAGATGACTTGGTAATCAGCACAAGCAAGGGAGTATTTGGAGGAGGGAGACTGCTACATGGAACAGCGAGGTAGGAGAACTGAAACTCCACATTCCTGGATGCCAGAGATCCTATAAGGAAGCTAGTATAGTTTCAGGTCCGTAGTAAAATCAAATGCAAATTCTCTTCAGAGCAAATCTGACTTAACAAAGGCTAAGAAGTTTTCTACTAATTTATACTTAATAATAATTCAGCCAATGGAGGTGCCTGGGTTAAGCATCTGACTTTGGCTCAAGTCATGATCTCCGGGTCCATGAGTTCAAGTCTCTCATTGGGCTCTATGCTGACAGTTTTGAGCCTGAATCCTGCTTCGGATTCTGTGTCCCCCCTCTCTCTCTGCCCCTCCCCCACTCGTGATCTGTCTCTCTCAAAAATAAATAAATAATCGGGGCGCCTGGGTGGCGCAGTCGGTTAAGCGTCCGACTTCAGCCAGGTCACGATCTCGCGGTCCGTGAGTTCGAGCCCCGCGTCAGGCTCTGGGCTGATGGCTCAGAGCCTGGAGCCTGTTTCCGATTCTGTGTCTCCCTCTCTCTCTGCCCCTCCCCCGTTCATGCTCTGTCTCTCTCTGTCCCAAAAATAAATAAACGTTGAAAAAAAAAATTTTTTTTAAAAATAAATAAATAAATGTTAAAAAAATTTTTAATAATTCAGCCAATGACTTAACATACAAGAAAACAATCCTCCATGAACAAAAGTCACCAGAAACAACAAATAACAGATTCAGAATAATTAATACTTTAGACATTGAAATCAGCATATAAAGACTATAAACTATGACTAAAACATAAAGACAGAGTAACAAAAATAAGCAAGTAACAAGAAGCCATCCAAAACAACCAGAACGCTTTCTCAAAGAATCAGACAGATCTTCCAATAACGAAAAATAGAATTGCTGAGGAGGGAAACAATCCTTCAGTGGATGAAAGAAGATTCAGTAACACAAAGGCTTAATGAACTCAAAGACAGGGCTCAGGTTTTTACCCCAGATGCAGCACAGATAAAGGAGATGAAACACATCTCAGATATATTAGAGACATGAAGGAAAGAATGATATTCCTTAACATATTTCTGACTGGAACTCCAGAAAGAAGAAAATGAAGGAGAAAAAATATGAAGAGATAATGGCTGAGAATTTCCCAGAAATGAGAAAAAATATAAATCTACAGATGAAGAAAACACCAAGCAGGATAAATTAAAAGGGAAAAAAAAAAAAAAATCCCCCCTAGGTATAAGAAACTGCAGAATACCAAAATCAAATAAAAGATTTTAAAAGCAGTTACAGAGAGAGACAGATTGCCTACCATGGAACATGATTTGGCTGAGAGAAGACTTCTTAACAGGAGCAATGGAAGCCAAAAAAACCCAGCACACTAATATCTCCCAAGTGCTAGGAGTTCTGTCAGTCTAAATTGTCTAGGCTAAAAAAGGTTGAATAGAATTAAAATAAAATTGTCTGGAATGGAAACAATTAAAACTCTCTTTACCACCAACCAATCTGCACCATGGGACCTTTTAAAGAAGATACTTCAGGAATGCAGGTCTGAGATGCTGAGAAACTATGAGGAGAGAAACTGGTAAATATATATGCAAATCTAAACAAACATTATCTAAATAACAAATTAAATAATACCTATGTCATGTGGTTAAAAAAGGATAGGACTAAGATACTAAGCGATAATCATACAAGTTCTTTGTATTTGGGGGGGAAAAGATGCATAGATATTATACTTCATTAGGTATGAATGGTAAAAATTTAAAGGTAACCATTGAAAGAATAGGTGGGGGCTGAGAGAGGGGAAGGAGGAAGAGGAAGAGGAAAATCAACTATGTAGTATCTATGAAGTAACACTGAAGGCAGCACAGAAAGGTTAAAAGGAAAGCAATGGAAAAATACATACCAGTCAAATTCCAACCCCCAAACAGCTGGAGAAGCTATATTACACTCAGAAATGCAGGACTTTATGACAAAACGATTGTGAGGATTACTATAAATAATCAATGATCTAATTCACTGGAAAACAGAATGACTTTTAAACCTGTATGTACCTAATAAAATAGTCTGTAACTATACAGGAGCAGAACACATAAAGCACAAATTGATAGAATTTCTGGTATTAAAGGATAAATTGGCCATCACAGTGGGATATTCCACATCTCAACCATAAAATCATATTTAGGTCATGCAGGCAAATCTGTAAATTGACAAAATTAGCAAAGCACACAAGATTTGAACAATAAAACAGAGGTTGCTTATTTGACACCTAACTCCAAACCCAACACTTAGAAAATACAGATTTTTGTCAAGCATAGAATGGTAGATTTATAAACACTGACCATGTTCACTGATTTCAAAGAGATATCAAATAAACCATCTTGTCAGAAAGAATACAAAATATAATTGGAAGTCAACCAAAAAAGATGAACAAAAAAAAAAAAGCTTAGCCATTTGGAAATTTAAAAGATAGTTCTAAATAATTCATGGGTCACCGAAGACAATTTAAGACACCTGATGCCAATACTTACAAAATTACTACATTATCAAAACTGTAGGTATGCAACAAAAATGGTACTTGGAAATACATGTCTTGAATGCTGTAACTTAAAGAACTAAGCATTTAACTGACAAAGTTAGGAAAAGAACACAAATGTGGAAACAGGTGTGACCACAAACACTTTTATTCCGGCTCCATTGTCAGCGTGGAATGAAATGAGACAAGTACTAAAGAACCAGGTGTTAAATCCAAAGGCTAATTTGGGTGGGGCACGTGTTACCAGAAAACAAAGGTTCATTTAATTATCAGACTAGTTTTCAGAAGCGGGAGTCAGGCACACTGGGTATGAAAATCAGTTTCTGCAAACTCCAGATGTCCCTAACCAAAAAAATAAAATGAAATGCTTTTGTAATCACCGCACAGAAATAGTACGTCTGACTGAGAGTTCACCCAAGATATACACGCTAGACTTGCTGGATCACAGGGAGATTAAGATCTGAACCCAAATTAGCAGAACAAGGGAGGAAGAATCTGTTCGGAATAAAGCAAGAATCCTGTATGAGAACAGGAATTCGCTTTTTAAACCTCTTCTTTGTTACTACTAAAAATAATATAACCACCTTAAGCAGAAAAATACCATTAACTAACTAGCCAGCAAACTTCATGTTTCCAAATATGAAATCATTTTAAATCACAGCAGTTACATTTTAAGACCACTAGACCCAACATAACTCTTTAATCAGCTGACTGGGCCACTGTGAAGCTACCCATAAGCAACTTGGAATCCGGTTCTTTACATCCAGTTCCTTAAGAAACTTATTCCTCCCAGTTACCATCTGCTCTGATCCTATTTCTGTAACTATGATGCTTTAATTCTTTAATACTGCTCACAATACAGAGCTGTCCCCAGGCCCCCCTCCCCCACCAACTCTGATTTGCTTACATATCACATTAACACTAGAGGAGACAGCTAAAATAAAGTATACTAACCTTGAATTATTTTCTCCTTGTTAAATCTTGTTTCTCCACTAAAATAGAGAGGGGGGAAAAAACCTTTATTACCAAATAGGTTATTTTTGAAATCAGAAAAAAAAATCATCAATGAAAGGTAATGATATTCACAAAGGGAGCATATGAACCTTGTAGCATACTTCACAATCTAACCTATAAACATAAAATTTGTTCTAAATTGATATTTACAAGCATCTACTCTAATGTACTTAGTTGATTTGGGCTAAGAATTTCATACTGACCCAAATTAAAATGTATAAATCATGAATCAATCATAATTGTAAGTAGAATATTCTATTAATATGTATATATAATTTTCATTAATCTTGTTAAAATAAATGTTAACTAAAACTCTTTCACAAGCAGCAGGAGGAAGCCATGAGAGTTGGTTTGTTGCTGGATTGAAGGAGCAAGTGCGAGGGAACCCGAATGTGGTGGGAAAGAAGTGGACAACCTTTCAGATGCCCTGGCTTCTTCCGGTTCCTAGATCTCCACCTGTTCCTTTTTGTAATGCTGACAACTATCTCGGAGAGGACACTAAAAACTGAGGTTGGGGTACTATGCTTTTAAGAATTAAAAAAACCAAACCAATTTCAAAGCAACTGTTAAGAGTGAAGGACTGGAAACTTTGTCATAAAATAACCATCAACTGAGGCTGGAGGGAACACAAAGTGGAAGGGGAGGGGGATGTGCTATCTGGACGAGACCAGACAACAGTAAAAGCAATCAAATACCTGAAAAGCTATCAAGAACTGAGTTCAAAATTCTTTGAGCTCTTTTTATGTGCTAAGTACAGTGCTAGGCACTGGAAAACAGAGATGAGAAGGACTGGTGGCTGCCCCGGGGGAAAAAGGAGTTGGCTTGTTCTGTGTAGACACTGGACACAGAACTGGAAGGGTGGGTAAAAATAGTAAATAGGTTTCTTTGGATCAAGTTGTTTCCTCATTTGGTACCAAATGTCTACAGCTCATATTGATACATTTCTATGTCAAGGGGAGATGAAAATCCTTTGAAGTAAATTTCACTGCCATATAGCAGCCTGAAGAACAAAAACTGCTTTGGCTACATACTTAGGAACTTGGTTAAGCTTGAGTGCCTCTGTTCTTTGTCTGTAATACGGGGATGATAACAGCCCCCATTTCACAGGACTCTTGGGGTAATTGAATGAATATAGATAAAAGTGTTTAAACACTGTTCAGCTTTTAGTAAGCACTGAATAGTTCTGTTTATAGGTCATTTTTGGACAGAGCTATACAGAAATTGAAGATTCAACATAATGCATTTAAAATCTTGTAAAAATCGTGAAATAAACAATGTAAACAAATAATATACCATAAAGTCAACACCCTGGTGACCCCACCCAAGTTAACAGATCACCACTGCCAGCCTCCTAGAGCGGGTCTCTTTCCAACCACAACGTCCTCCCACCCCCAGTGGATCCACTACCTGGCATTTATTTAGATGCTCATTTGCTTTGCCTTTCTTCATAGCTTTCCCATCCAAGTACAGCATAGGATTAGCTTGCCTGTTGTTGAACTTTATAATGAGTTGCTTCTTGCTGTATGCAGTCCTGTGTTGCTACCATTCCTCAACATTGTTTGGGAGATACACCACTGTTGTGACCAGTGGCATACTCTTACACTCTCATTACTGTGTAATACTCAAGAACTTCCCAGTGTTATTTATATTGTTGATATATTTACATTGTTTCCAGTTTGGAGCTAAGCTGCTGTGAATAAACATGTTTGTATAGAGCACATCAGATTCTCTAGGGCAGTGGGTGGCAAAGTGGGGCCTCTGAACCAGCATCACTGACACTGCCTGGGGCCTTTTGGAAATGCAAATTCTCAGGCCCCACTTCAGACTCCCGAATCAGAAGCTCAGAGGTTGTGGCCCAGTTCATCTGTTTTAATAAACCCACCAAGTGATTCTGATGCACATTCATGTTTGAGAACTACTCAAAGACCGGCACACGATCTTGGTAGAGTTGTACTGGAATATAATCATACCCATTTGTTTACATGTTGTTTATGGCTACTTTCACACTATAATAATGGAACTGAGCGGTCCAGACAGAGTGCATGGCTTGTAAAGCCTAAGCTACTTCCTACCCCTTAATTAAAAGTTTGCAAAGCCATACCTAGTGATCTAGGCCTAGCACTAGAATTGCTAAGCCACAGAGTATGCAAACATTTAGATTTATCAGACAATAGCGAAGTGGTCACAGCAATTTATAACCCCCAGCAGTGTTCCACATCCTCTCCAACATTCAGTAATGTCAGAGTTTCCCATTTGTGCCAATTTGGCACAGAACAGTTCATCTCAGTTTTATCTGACCATATTTCCCTGATTACTGTGAAGGCTCAGGCTCAGGCTCATCACCCCTGCTTTGTTTTAAACAAAGCACTGGTTTAAAAAAAAAAGCCTTCACATGGATTGATTTACACAGTCTAGAAAGGAACTCCATCAAATCTTAAGAGTCAGAATCACAAACCCGGGCCTCTGCCTGGAACCTTGTCCCTCATTTACAAAAATAGTTGTCTGCCAACCTCTGCCTAGAACAGTGTTTCTCAAACTTGAGAGTGTATCTGAATCCCCTGGTGAGCTTACGAAAACAGAGACCACTGGACCTGACCAGTATGTTCTCACTCTTCCAGACCCAATACAGACAAACAGCCTGCTCCCTGAGGAAGCATTCCCTCCCAGGCACCATTCCCCACCTACCTATCCCATTTAAACACACCCAGGCTACACTCCCATTCTGCCCCCCAAACCCCCCCCCCCCCAGTACTGTCAGTTACCACCCATATGCTAATTAACCTTTTTAGATGTGTGTCTAACCAGGTTCCAGCTCCTTAAAGGCACAGCCAGAGGTTCCCTTGCCCTAACATACTCATTGCCTAGAGAAAACCCAGGGAAATAACAGAACCTCAGTGTATGTACTCTGCCAATGGAAGGTCATCTGGAAATATCAATCAAAATAATAAATCCGTTTGCCCTTTAATACAGCAACCATAATACTGGGAATACTTGCATTCAACCTTATTTAAAACAGTATCTGCCACAATATTTTTCCTAGTAGCAAAAGCTGGTAAATAACCTAAATATCCACTAACAGAGAACTGGTTACATTAACAAATAAATGGTGGCATATATACATAGTGGAATACTAGGTAATTGTGTCCCCTAAAAAAGAGAATGATTTATGGAAAGGTTTGGAAAAATTACCAAAATATATTAAAGAGCAAAAGCAAAGTGCAGAATAATCTAAAAAGAATGCTATCTTTTTAGAAAGGTGGAAAATAAGAATAAACATTTGGACCTGCGTGCACATGTGCACACAAACACCAGAAAGATACATAAGAATTGTTCTGATTTCTAAACATGTGGATGTAACTTTAAAAAAATGTATGACAAATATATGAAGATTTTCATAACTATTTACCACTGATCTGCCATTGTCATCATTGTGGTTAATATTAATAAAATATGTCTTTTACTCCAAAATTCATTCGAAATCATACACAATGGATGTGAAAGAGGGTATTAATCTCTACCATTCAGACAGATAAAGTATCCATGGTGATGACAGAGAAACTGCCGTTTAAAAAAAATTCTTTTTGTTTATTTTTGAGAGAGAGAGAGAGAGAGAGAGAAAGAGGGACAGCACAAGCAGGGGAGGTGCAGAGAAACGGGGAGAGAGAGAGAGGGAGACACAGAATCTGAAGCAGGCAGAGCAGGAATCTAGAAAGAGAATTTTTTTCCCAAAAACTTTCATGAATATTTAGTTTTACAGCTATCAGCTTTATCAAGAGGTTTGTATAAATCCTTAAGGCAACTGTTTAAAGTTTGTTTTGGGAGTGGGAAAGAAAATTAGGTGGCTGAAATAGTTTTACTATTAATCTACTTCCCTTAACCAAAGTGTGGCTTGTGATAGTGGCAGAGAAGGTGGAAGGAGCTGAAAGGTCAGAGGAATATATTTTGAAACAGTCAGGAATAACACTACTCATTTTCAAAATCTCCAGTGTGATCCATTTCCAAAACAGAACACCCGACTCTGCAAGAATCCAAATGCTTATGCCAAGAAGTTAAGTCTTATGACCAGCCATTTATAGGTCCCACAAATATGCATCATTCATTTTGTAGGTTATTACACTATTCTTCACTTTAAAAGATTTTATTTTGTTAGTTCTCATTTATATTCTATGGCATTTCTTTAGAAGTCATTTAGAAAGCTTAATTTCCCGATCATATTCTTTTAAAGAATTCAAATTCAATAGATGAGTACTGTTTGCCACAAGACCAAGGCAAATCATGGGAAATTAGTACAGATCTGGGGCATGTTTTCAAAATAGATACGCTTCAGTGTACATGGAAATGCAAAGCCTCACCTGATATTTAATCAAGAATACAGCTTTATCTTAATTCCTCTCTACCAATTAATTCACTCGAAAATATAGAAGATTTCGAGGGCTAGTAACATGGAAACCGTCACTAGATGGTCGGGGTGGGGGACGTAACACACCCAACTCATGATATATTTTTATTTATATGTCAGTCCTAGTTGTAAATGCTCTCCCAATTGATCAATCCTATTCTCAGAAAACAAGTATCACAGTAACATAACAACTAACATGTATCTTTATAAAAATTCACAGGTGCCCTAACACTTACTTTGCTTGCTTTATTTATGACCAGAACAATTATTGGCATTCAACAAAAAAGTAACTGCCAATAGAGGTAGCATAAGAAAAGCAAATCAGTTTTGCTATCATTAACTTTACTAATTTATCATCTTTAGGTCATTAAAAGCAAATTAAATGAGGTTTGTAAAATTTTTTGTTTTAAGAGCTAGTTAAAAAGGAAGTGAAATGGGATGGTTTTCCAGGCAACTAATTGCAAACAGACACAAATATTTCAAGGAACTGGGGCCTTCAATGGGTTATGTAGGTGATGGAATTCCCAATCTACATATATTGGGGTTTTCAACAATGCTGGACTAGAAGATCAGAAGTTATAGTTTAATAATACTAAAAGACTTGAAATTTGCAATCTTGGATATTCTATTCCAAAATGATACTTCTGAGCACAAGTATGTCGAAGATAAACGCACAGGTAGTTACAGCATAAGATTCATAAAGGATTTGGTTGAACTTACAGAAACTGCATTTTAAAAGCTTTCTGGAATTATCTGAAGAGGCACTGTTCACTAAAATTATTCATCTCATGCTATCAGTTTCAAAGCACTGATCATGCTATCAGTTTCAAAGCACTGGACTATCTTAGTTATACAGAATCAGATAATAGAAAAGTCAAGTGCTATTCCCAATATTATGCTAAATGACCCAATCCTGTGGATTCATTATATTTAACTATGGTGATTATTAATCAAGTTTGCAATCGTTTCGTTTCCTGAAAGCGTCATTAATTCTTAGCTTGGAGAATTTGGAAGAGGAAAGAGGGATGATCCAGGCAGGAAAGGCAGCTCACCATAACCCTATCAATTATTTCAACACTTTAACTCCACTCTCCCATGAATAAAACAGAACAAAGCAAACTATTCTTAACACTCTTCGCAATTATATTAGCAGAAATAAAAAGTAGCCACTAAAATAGCTGGTGATATTCAAGCAATCTACAAACACTAGGTTTTAACTCAATAAAAAAGGAGGCAGAGAGGACAGTGATTAAGAGGATGGGATGGGCTGTAGAGTCAAGCTCCTTTGCTTCAATGCCACCACCCCACCAGCCACGTGACTTCAAGCAAGTTACAGGACTTCTGCATCTGTTTCCTCACCTGCAAACTGAGAAGCAGTCCTCACCTCACTGCACTGTCAGAACTTAATTACAACAGTGCCTGGCACATAATAATGTATAAAGACTTACTTTTAAATTGATTCCTCAAAGGATTTCTATAAGGAATCAGTTTTTTAAACCAAGCCCTTTTTTAAGAAGCACGGAGGAGACAAAATCCAAATTCATGTAACTACTGTCCATAAGAATCTAAACAGAAATCACCTTACTATCAAGGGATGGTTCAATCCAGATTTCCTGCGACTTGTGAACTTCAATTATATGTCAGACACAGTACTGGCTGAGTTCAGGCATCCATAAGGTGCTCAAACACTGGAAAAAGAAGGGCTCTACTTCCTGCTCTGCTACCAATGAGCTATACATGACCTTAAGTAGGTCATCAAATGGTCATAAAGCAGTCTATAAAATGGAAGGGTGGGGAAGAGACAGAGAGGAACTCAATTTCTAGTTTAGTCATCAAAATCCTGTGAGTCTTACAGGGATAATTCTGATGATTCCTAAGATTATCCTCCCATAAAGGAAGAACAGGACAAAAAAAAAAAAAAAAAAAAAAAAAAAAAAAAAAAAAAAAGATACCAATTAAAGTCAGCTCGACAAAGTTAAGTCCTATTACTGTTCCTTGTGAACTCTGGAAGTCAAAAACGGTATCTTATTTACCTGTATAATCCAGTCCACGGGCACCTAGCACATATTCAAAATGCGGGTCTGATAAAATTATACATACATCCTAAGGACTGACTACATTTTTATTACAGATGCTCTTACAGAATTAGAAGTTATTTAGTTCTTGAGACACATATCTTCCCCTCCGTTGTACTATACACTCTGCCTCACACTAGTGAGGCAGGTATTTTCACTATCCCCATTTTATGTATTAGCAAACTGACGTCGTAAAGATTACGTTAACGGAAGCCGCGGTTACAAGGTTCCTCCTAACCAGAGCCCGGATTCTAACCCAGGTCTATCCTGCTTGAAAAATCTGTGGTCTTAACCACCCTGCACTGCACTTCCATTAACAGTCGGCAAATAAGCGTTACGAAGGAAAAAAGATAAGAGACATGAAGACGTAGCAGCCTTCAGCTCCACCGTGGAATGTTATGATAAAAATATTTGTTCGAGGTGATGCGGGTTGCAGAGACGAGGGTGGAGGCCCTCCGCCGCCGCCAGCAGTGTGATCTCGGGAGGGAAGAACTAAATCTCAGGTCCACGCCTGCGGCTGCCCTGGCAAGCGAGGGACGGGGGTGCAGCACAGACGGAGAGGCACAGCGGCGGAAGGCAGCCAGCACACAAATACTGGCCTGGGACGAGCTATCCCGCAAACTCTTCAGGATCCGTTGGGGCGGGGGGTGGGCAACCAGCGGCGCACGAAGTCCGGAGCCAAGGCTGGCTTTTTTCAGCTTTAACTCCGCAGAGTGGCTGCGAACCTCGGCCATTTACTCCTCCGGACCTCAGCGTGCTCATCTGTAACGCCGGATTCCAGATATTTACGACCCGCCTTCCCGGCTCAGGGGCGCCGGGGGAAGAGGGGTCCAACCCTCCGAAGGGCGAGCAAGCAGGGAAGAGGAGGGGTGACAGGTCAACGGTCTCTTCACCCACTCCTCAACAAGTCCCTGACGAGAAGGCGACAAGGGCACCCTGCGACAGCAATACTCACTGCCGCACAACGGTCAGCGCGAAGCGGGTCATCTTCCGGGCGCCCGGAGGGAGGGGAAGTGATGGCCCCAGCGCAGCTCGCGTGCCCAGCACCCTCCGGCGCGAGGCTTCTCCGCACTGCGGGACACCTCGCCCACACCACTTCCGCCAAACCCGGCCGGCCGGCCGGCTCCGCCACCATAGGCCGAGGCGGCCGTCTACGTCATTCCAGGAGCGCCAATCAGGGCGGCGAGAGGCCGACAGGGCGGCGGAGAATGGTAAGCAACGAGGCCCCGCCCAGGGCCGTGGCGCTTGCGCCCCTGCGCGCAGGCCTGTGATTGGCGCGCGGCAGGTGCTTGCGGGGCCCGCCCTGGAGTCCGCAGTGGAGGTGGTTCTTGCCCGGGCAAGTTTGGATCCTGGAGACTCCGGATAGAGGAGTGAGCTGGAGCACGGATGTGGAGTTGATTTCATTTGAAGCAGGAATGCAGCTAGTAGTCTTACTTCCGGAGTGTACAGCGCCAGACACATTGGGTCGTATGAGGTTTTAGTGTTAACCCGTAATACTGGGGATGTAGGGTCAGCAAGTTCTGCGGATTTAGATCCACCTAGTTCCTCTCCCCGCCTCGACGGGCACAGTCCTGCAGCAAACTGAAGTCAGATTTTTTTTTTTTTGAGCGCTCTTCCAGACTGGGCCTCATTCTTGGCCTGCTGAGCCCGGTTTTACCAAAGACTTCTGCGAAGACAGTTTATCAAGAATCCCCTTACCTTTAGTATCCAATCAAGCTCCTCTTCCTCCACCCTTGGTATTTAATGGAGCTCCTCTTCCCCCTCAACCTTGATATCTAACCAACTTCCTGTTAATAAGTTTCCATTCCCTCCCTCGCCCTGACCCCTGGCAATAAACCCTATTGGTGCCTGTTGTACTTGGAGTTGAATTCAGTCTCTCTGACACATTGCAATAGTCTTGACCCCAGTTGCAATGGTCTTAAGGTTCCCCTGTCATTTTTGAAGAGCATCTGGTGAATAATGTTTCTTTTACAGCTTTCAGGGTCTTGAGAGAGCTACTTAACCTCTCTCTCAGTTATATGATAAGTAAAATGGGTTAACAGGTAAAGCTTACTCACTCGTGTTAGCTTTACAATGACAAAGTTTAATGATGTTAACTTTTACATTGTTTTCCATGCATTTTTACTTAACTTCTCATATATGATAATGCATTTCTCCCCAATTATATATGAAAAGTTGGGTTTAAAGAACTTAAGTGATGCATGGGATTTATAGGCACACATTTCAAATGTTTTACATGTGTGATCACATTTGTCTCTCAGAACAACTCTGAGGTAAACAGGGTATCTTCACTTAAGATACAAGGAATCTGGCCTAGAGAGAAACTAAGCAATTATTCTAGGCTTACAGTTGGTCCGTGGTGACACAGGACTGATTTGGAGATTTTCAAACCTGCCTACACGTTGCAATCATCTAGCACCTTTTGAGTGCCGCGCCCCAGAAAATTAAATCTGAATTTCTGCAGGAAGGATCCAGGCATCGGTAAATTTTTTTTTAATCCCCAAATGTTTCCACTGTACAGTCAGCTTTGAGAACTAGAACTTTAAAACAGTGCTTCTCGAACTTGAATGGGCATACAAATAACCTGGGGATCATCTTAAAATAAGATTCTGATTTAGTAGATTGGGAATGGAGGCCAAATTCAGCATCCCTAGCAAGATCCCAGGGAATAGTCAGTTTTGGAATGAGAGAGGAAGGATAATTCAGAGTTCTAAAAGGGGGCCCAAATTACCATAGGGATACATTGCCTACACATAGTAGGTAGTTCATATAAATGTTCTGAATGCCTGAATGAATGAAGCAGTCCAACAGATTCTCCTGGAAGTTTGAACTAGAAAAAGGAAATTAATTAGGTAGAGAAACCATAAGATTGAACTATAAGGGAGCATGCAGATTGAAGCTATGAAGAAACAAACCACAAATAATACAAGCTTGAGAACAGATTTACAGAGTAGGGAGTAAGAACAGGCAAAGGTAATGGAAGAAATCAGAAAGAGAAAAAAAAAAAAAAAAAAAAAAAAAAAAAAAAAAGACAGAAGTAGACATAAGTGTGTAACACAGAGACTACCTGGCCCGTAGTCCCGCAGGCTGCCATAATACCAGATACTTTGAAGGTTCTATTTTTACAATAAAATCTCTTTCTCTTTAAGGTAGTCTGAGTACATTTCTTTTTTCTTTTTTTTTTAACATTTATTTTTGAGAGACAGAGAGACAGAGCACGAGCAGGGAAGGGGCAGAGAAAGAGAGAGAGACAGAATCTGAAGCAGGCTCCAGGCTCTGAGCTGTCAGCACAGAGCCGAACACGGAGCTCAAACCCACAAACTGTGAGATCATGACATAAAGTAAGTACTGACCATGTTTCATTCTCTCCCTGGCTCCTATCAAAATGTTTAAAAGACAATAGAGACTAAATTAAAATTTATTAAATGAATGAATGAGGTATATTTGTTATGATCAATTTGTCAAATGAATCATACATCTAAAAATTAGCTGATGAATGGGAGAGTATTAATCTAGGAGAAATTTAGAAAATTATAAAGCACCAATATTAACATAAAGAATTTTCCAAGAAATGTGCATAAAAAGAATGTTTCATAAACTTTAAGAATCAGAAAAAGAAAACAGGTGAGAGATGAGGATCTTGGAAAGAATGGACATAATCTTGCATTATTCACTCAACAGTTCTGGAATTGCTCTTCAGCTTCTAAAATGAACAAGGAATTTGTTTAAACTTTGTTTTGCTAGAAGTTTTAAATAACCACTGATATACTTTTGTTGGCAACCTATCAAATCACGTATGCCCCCCCCTTTTTTTAATGAAAAATAGTGCTTTGTTATGGTATGGCATATGACGGAATTCTGAATTAGGATCGGCCAAGGTATGCTGAGGTAACAAATTAACCCTGAAGTTTGCCATGGCTTAACACATAATAGTTTTTCTGTCATGTAACATGTCTAACATGGATCAGAAAGGGGCTTTGTTCCACGTAGTTACTCAGGGATTATGGCTGACAGACATCAGTTGCAACACATAGATTCATGATTCCTGGGGCAGGAGAGGAGAACAACTGAAGGTCTTGAACCAGTTCTTAGATGCTTCCTCCATGCATTGTCCAGAGCTATTGACATGGCCCTATTTAACTGCAAATGTGACAGGAAATGTGGGGAACACATAAAGGCCTGCAAGTGGACAATGCCATAAATACTGTGCATGTTGGCGTATCCCAGGATTCTGCCCTTAGCTCTCTTTTTCTCCTTAACTATGCAGTCTCCTAGGTGATCCTATCCAGTGTATAGATGTTATTTATTTCTCTAGCCTCCAAGTTCCCCCAATCTCCACCTACATTTGTCCAGTTACCCACCCAGCATCTTCACTTGGAGCTCCAACAGGCCTCTGGGGCTAACTTTTCCCACACAGAATCTTTAATGTTTACCTCCTAAGACCGCTCACTCCTCAAGTTTTTTTCATCTCATGGCAGTACCCAGTTGCCCATGTAATCCTTGATTCTATACCTTAACCTAACACTCCCCATCAAATTCACCACAAATTCCTGTAGCCTCTGTAATGCAGGGAGTGCTGGACTTTTAGTCATGTTTTCAAATAAAGATTTAATTATAGTCTTCACTGAAGATGCGCCAAGTGTGAAAGGGCTTGATCTACTCAGAATGTAAGATCAGGGAGGAAAGAGAGCATGGGTTTCCCAGGCACTTAAATACTTTCAACAATAGCATTAAGGGTGAAATTAATTATATTGGTACCAAATGCTGGCCTGTTGGTTAATAGGAGTCATGAAATGTCTATTCTTCTTGTTTATAAGTTTTTTAACTAAAGGGTTTTTCTTTTCTTATTCTGAGATTAACACTAAAAGTAATAGACTTATATCTACAGTACTGCAAAGATCTTTGAAGATGCACATCTTTGAAACTTTAGAGACTCATTTTTGTCATCTAGTCCGTGGTCGTTTTGTGTAAATGTCTCATGTGTGCTCATGAAGAATATGGGTTCACTCGTCGTTGGATGCAAAGCTCTTTGCATGTCTAATTAAGTTTATTTATTGTGTTGTTCAAATCTTCATAAGTCAATACATAAATCTAAAACTTAAAAAAATTTCTATGGGGTTTATCACCAAGTTATGTGTTGAGTCCATCACTCTTCCCTCTTCCTTGTGACCTTACTACATCCTGTCCTGAGCTTTGTTGTCTCTTGCCTGGATGATTGTGAGAGCTTGTTAACACAGCTCTGCTGCCTGTGCTCTTGTATACCATACACCATCTCCTACTCAGCTGCCAAAGTGATGTCTTTATAATCACATCGTGCCAGCCCCTTGCTGGAAAATTCTCTAATGGAGTCTTATCGCCTCTAGAATAAAGTCCCACCTCCTTATCCAACCTCCCACAAGGCCAAGGTGACTTGGGTCCCCTCTAGATCTCTAAACTCATTTCCCTATTCACTCCCCCTCCCCACCAAGCTCCAGCTATAATGCTTCTCTCTGTTCCTAGACCACGACATGCTCACTCATGTCTCAGGGTCCTTGCGTTTTTTGTTACTTCTGCTTACAAAGTTCTTTCCCAAGACATTGAGTGCTTTTCTCCTTCTCAGCTTCCCAATCCTAACTCAAGTCACCTCATCAAGAGGGCTTCCCTCAAGCAAAGTAGCCTGCCAGTCACCATCTATCATCCTATTTTATCTGGAACTATATCACTTATTCACTGTTTTTACAGGTTTATCACCTGTCTCTGCTAGAATATAAATTCCTTGAGGCTAGGGACTATCATGTTCTTTTTCATGTCTTCAGTGCCTAGAACAGTGCCAGACACAATTTACGAACTCAATCAATATTTGCCGTCATTGGAAATCATGTTCCTAAAGAATATCTAATAATATGGTAACATTCCCCTGATAGGTGAATAAATGGGAGGTGGGGGCGGTGGCGGGAAGGGTAAGATAGAAAACTATTCACTGTGAGACTGATTTTATAAGAAAAAATTCAGGCATTTAAAAAAAAGACAAGAAGAAACATGTTATTTGTGTCAAAGATTTCTCTAGGCAATATTTATAATGTTAAAA